ACAATGAGTGAGATGTGCAGCCTTTGGGGGGTGGTCAGGCTTGAACCTCTGACCTGAGAGGGGAGGGATGGCATGGGCAACATACATAACCTTAACATGTGTACCCCCATAATATGCTGAAATAAAAAAGAATTTTTTTTAAATGGTTGGTTCTGGCCGGGCGCGGTGGCTCACGCCAGTAACCCTAGCACTCTGGGAGGCCGATGCGGGAGGATCGCTCAAGATCGGGAGTTTGAGACCAGCCTGAGCAAGAGTGAAACCCTGTCTCTACTACAAATAGAAAGAAATTGGCTGGACAACTAAAAATATATAGAGAAAAAATTAGCCGGGCATGGTGGCGCACGCCTGTAGTCCCAGCTACTTGGGAGGCTGAGGCAGGAGGATCGCTTGAGCCCAGGAGTTGCCGTGAGCGAGGCTGACGCCATCGGCACCACATCTTCCTTCTTTTTTTTTTTTCCCGGCCTAAAACCAACCATTTTAACGTGCACGATTCAGTAGCATTCACAATGCTGTGCGGCCACCACCCCTGTCTAGTTCCAGAACATTCTCATCACCCCCGGAAGGAGACCCCGTCCCCGTCAGCAGTCACTCCCCATCCCCCGGCAGCCGCCAATCTGCCTCCGGTCTCTGCGGCTTTGCCCGTTCTGGACGCTGCGGTCAGCCGCGCCTGCCCCGCTGCCGAGTGGACGGATGCGGCCCTTCGCGGCTGCCTCTTCCGCCAGCGTCGTGCCTCGAGGCTCTTCCTCGTCCCGCTGCGCCTGGGAGCCTCAAGGCGCGGGGCCGTGCCCCCTCTGCTCTCCCCGCAGCGCGGCCGACAGGAACGGGGCCCTCAAGTGCACCTTCTCCGCGCCCGGCCACAGCTCCAGCCTCCTGCAGGGCCTGGCCACCCTGCGCGCCCGGGGCCAGCTGCTGGACGTCACGCTCACGGTCGGCGGGGAGGCCTTCCACGCGCACAAGGTGGTGCTGGCCGCCTGCAGCGACTACTTCAGGTGAGCGCCGCCCGCAGGGGCGTCTGCCCGGGGCGCGCAGGGGCGGCGGGCGTCCGGGTCAGCGCCAGCCCGGGGCGGCTTTGAGGGAGGGCGGCTGGTGCCCGCCTCGCCTGCCTCCGATCGTGGCGAGGAGCCCGAGGGCCGGTGCACCCGCAGGGCTCCCAGGTCTGCGTCCCACGCCCGCGCAGCTCCTGCCCGGGGCGGTGGGGCTCGGCCCGGGCCTCGGTCTGCCGTTTGCCGGGCGCCGTCCTAGGCCGCCGGCCCCGCAGGCAGGAAGCGGGCCAAGTCCTTCCCGCTGGGATGTCCGCACGGGCACCTCGCGCAGAGCAGCAGAGGGGCCGAGGGACGCCGCCGCGCCCACGGTGACCCTGGCGTCGTGCCGACACCCGTATGCCGATTCGAGGACCAGGTCCCCCCCTGCTGCCCTGGGCTGTGGGCGCTTCCCCCTCGTGCCAGAGGGGCCGGGCGTGCAGGTGCGTCTGCAGTCCTGTGCCCTGGCTGAGCCACACCAGGGAGCAGGGAGGGGAGACCGCTGTCTTTGCTGCCAGGGGCCGGCGCGGGCCAGGTGGCCTCCTTGGTTCCCTGGTGACCAGCGGCGAGCCTCCTCCTTGCCGGCCGCCGTGGGGCGGTTCCCAGGCCTGCCCCAGCCCGGGTGCGCACCTCAGGCCACGGGTCCCTCCCCCAAGGCCGGGGCACCTGGCCTGGCACGTTCCCGGCGCCCGCCCCGTGGGCTCGAGAGGCCGTCGTGGGGAGCCCCGGCGGCCAGGCCGACCCGGGGCGCCGCTGCTATTTTTACTCTGGATTTGGGGACGGGCGGCCAGCCCGCCAGGCAATGCCCTTTAAAGGCTCCCCCGCACTGGCACTGCAGCAGGCAGGGCCTTAAAAGGCAAAACTCCTTCCCGTCGCCCCGGCTGCCTCCGCCTTCATCCCGACGCCCCAAGGCCGGTGGGGACCCTCGGGGACAAGCAGGGCAGGGTCCGGGGAGCTGGCAGGGCGCCGCCCCCGGACCGCTCTGAGACACCCATGAGCGGCTCTCCAGGCGGATGTGCCCGGCCCCCTCGACGCCCCCACACTGGCCAGGCCCACGCCGGTGTGAGACCAGGGCAGGGTCGTCTGCTGGGCAGACGGATGGAGGGGTTCCCGGATAGCAGTGGGGGTCGCTGCCAGGCGCCGCCCCACCCTGCCCCGAGATAGGATCCTCCCGCCACCCAGGGGCGCCCGGGCACTGGCTTCTCTCCCCTCTGCCTGCTAAGGGGTGCGCGCCTAGGGCCAGAGAGGGCTGTGACCCAGGGCCCTCAGCCTCCCCACGGGCCTGCGTCCCTGCCTGGCTCTCACGTCAGGCCCCCTCTCAGAGCAGGGCCGAGCGGTGACAGAGCAGGGGTCCCCAGCCGGCCAGCAGCTCCTCTGGGCTGTGCTTGGGTGGGGGGGCGCGTCCCTGACCACCTGGGCCTTTCTCCAGAGACGCAGCGACCCCAGCACGGCTCCCAGAAGGCTTTGTCACCCCCTGTTCCCGAGTGAGGGTCGCTGAGACCCAGGCTGGGGAGTCGGAGCTGCTTTCTCAGGCCGTGGTAGTGCAAAGCCCACAGGAGCTCTGGCCTTGTCCCCTGCCGTGGCGCTGCAGAGCCGTCCCCAGAGCCACAGGTGTGTGCTCACAGCCACACCTGGCCCCTCTGCCCAGCCGGCTGGGCCCCAGCGACACCCGGGGGTGAGGCTGAGCCAGGCCCTCAGCCCTGACTCGCGAGCAGGGATCTGCCGCTAGGGGCGTGAGCAGGGCGCGAAGGGGCAGAGCTGGGAGCCGGAAGACGTGCAGCTTGGGGCAGATTAAAATTCTTTTTTTTTTCTCTTCTGCATGTTTTTTTTTTTTTTCTTGAGACAGAGTCTGGCTCTGTTGGCTGGGCTAGAGTGCTGTGGCGTCAGCCTAGCTCATAGCAACCTCCAACTCCTGGGCTCAAGCGATCCTCCTGCCTCAGCCTCCCAAGCAGCTGGGACTACAGGCATGTGCCACCATGCCCGGCTAATTTTTTCTATGTATTTTTTGTTGGCCAATTAATTTCTTTCTACTTTTAATAGAGACAGCTGTCTTGCTCTTGCTCAGGCTGGTTTCGAACTCCTGACCTTGAGCGATTCTCCCGCCCCGGCCTCCCCGAGTGCTGGGATTGCAGGCGTGAGCCGCCGCGCCCGGGCCCTTTCTGCATGATTATAACAAGCCTCCGGCCGGCTTCCCTCTTGCCCGCTGCATCCTGTGTCCCGGGGCTGCTCCAGGCTGGCCACGATGCCCCTGGGCCGCCCGCCCACTCGCTGTGTCTCCGCCCTCCAGGGCCATGTTCACGGGCGGCATGAGGGAGGCGAGCCAGGACGTCATCGAACTGAAGGGCGTGTCGGCCGGGGGCCTGCGCCACATCATCGACTTCGCCTACAGCGCGGAGGTGACGCTGGACCTGGACGGCGTGCAGGACGTGCTGGGCGCTGCCGTGTTCCTGCAGATGCTGCCCGTGGTGGAGCTGTGCGAGGAGTTCCTCAAGGCGGCCATGAGCGTGGAGACCTGCCTGCACATCGGCCAGATGGCCACCGCCTTCAGCCTGGGCTCGCTGCGCGAGTCGGTGGACGCCTTCACCTTCCGCCACTTCCTGCAGATCGCGGAGGAGGAGGACTTCCTGCGCCTGCCCCTGGAGCGCCTGGTCTTCTTCCTGCAGAGCAACCGGCTGCAGAGCTGCCCCGAGATCGACCTGTTCCACGCCGCGGTGCGCTGGCTGCGGCACGACCCCGCCCGGCGGCCGCGCGCCAGCCACGTGCTCTGCCACATCCGCTTCCCGCTGATGCAGCCGTCGGAGCTGGTGGACAGCGTGCAGGCGCTGGACATCATGGTGGAGGACGCGCTGTGCCGCCAGTACCTGCTGGAGGCCTTCAACTACCAGGTGCTGCCCTTCCGGCAGCACGAGATGCAGTCCCCGCGCACCGCCGTGCGCTCGGACGTGCCCTCGCTGGTCGCCTTCGGCGGCACACCCTACACCGACAGCGACCGCTCCGTCAGCAGCAAGGTGTACCACCTGCCCGAGCCGGGCGCGCGCCACTTCCGCGAGCTGGCGGAGATGGAGGCGGGCCGCAGCCACACGTGCGTGGCCGTGCTGGACAACTTCGTGTACGTGGCGGGCGGCCAGCAGCTGCAGTACCGCAGCGGCGAGGGCGCGGTGGACGCCTGCTACCGCTACGACCCGCACCTGAACCGCTGGCTGCGCCTGCGCGCCATGCAGGAGAGCCGCATCCAGTTCCAGCTGAACGCGCTGGGCGGCCTGGTGTACGCCACGGGCGGCCGCAACCGCGCGGGCAGCCTGGCCTCGGTGGAGCGGTACTGCCCGCGGCGCAACGAGTGGGGCTACGCCTGCTCGCTGAAGCGCCGCACCTGGGGCCACGCGGGCGCCGCGGCGGGGGGCCGCCTCTACATCTCGGGCGGCTACGGCGTCTCGGTGGAGGACAAGAAGGCGCTGCACTGCTACGACCCCGCGGCCGACCAGTGGGAGTTCAAGGCGCCCATGAGCGAGCCCCGCGTGCTGCACGCCATGGTGGGCGCGGGCGGCCGCATCTACGCGCTGGGCGGCCGCATGGACCACGTGGACCGCTGCTTCGACGTGCTGGCGGTGGAGTACTACGTGCCCGAGGCCGACCAGTGGACCACGGTGAGCCCCATGCGCGCCGGCCAGTCGGAGGCCGGCTGCTGCCTGCTGGAGAGCAAGATCTACGTGGTCGGGGGCTACAACTGGCGCCTCAACAACGTGACGGGCATCGTGCAGGTGTACAACACGGAGACCGACGAGTGGGAGCGGGACCTGCACTTCCCCGAGTCCTTCGCGGGCATCGCCTGCGCCCCCGTCCTGCTGCCCCGGGCGGGGGCCAGGAGGTAGCCCCGGACCCCGGCGGGGGAGGGGCAGTGGGCGGGGCAGTGGGCGGGGCCTCGGCCCACGCGGGGCTGGGGAGCACCGCCCTCCCGCCAAGAGCCCCAGCGGCCCCCCCAGGCCGGCCCAAGGAGGGGCCTGCCCCCGCCCCCACCCCGGCGGGGACCCTCCCTCCTCCCTTCCCCGAGCGGATCCTGGTTCCGTGGAGTCCAGCCCGGGAGCCTCCAGCCAGGAGGCCGCGGTGTCTTGGCAGCAAATTTTGCACAACCGGGGCGGTTTCCTCGCCGCACTGCGCGGCCCGGCGGGCGGGCGGGAACTAGGGTCTCCTTAGTGGTGGCCGTCGTGTGGCTTTGCCTCTCTCCCCCGCCCGCTTCGGCCCCTCGTTTTCAGACCCGAAGTCGCAGGCATGCAGCCGGCCCCCCTTCCGAGCCTCTCGCGTGCGTGCGTTTTTAAAACAAACTCACCCCAAAGCCCCGCAGTGCACGGATGGGAGGCTGCTCTGAAGCTCCCAGCTCCGGGCGGGGGTTGGGGGGAGGACAAGGGCGCATGCGTGCCTCCCCCACGCGTGCCCCCAGCGCCCGCACCCCTCGTCCTGAGCTTCCAGGCGGGCGGCTCCCGTGGCTCCCGCCTCTGTTCCCATCCCGGGCCCCAGCACCTTGGAGGCGTTTGCTCGTCAGGAGAAAACACTCCCAGCCCCGGAGACGGTCCTCGTGGGTGTCAGGCCTTCCACCTGGGGCCTTGCTGAGGAGGACGGGCCAAGGCGGGGTGCCCCCTGCCCGTGTTCGCCTCCGGTGGCCCGGCTGTCTCTCCCCATGGGTCAGAGTCTCACCGTGCATGTGCATCTCGCAGGTCCGTCGGGGGATTTTTATTCCTCCCCCCTTTCTGCCTCTCCATGTCCCCTCCGACCCCCCAAGAGCCTGCCCCGTTTCTAGGCTGACCCAGCCTGGTCCCCCTCGGGGAGGCCGGGCCGGCGGGGAGGCCGTCCCCTTCCCGGGCTCCTCCAGCTGCAGTTGTTCCGATGCCTGAGCCTCTAAACCTGTTCTTTTCCTTTTGTTTTACTTTTTCTTTTCTTTTCTTTCCTTTTTTTTTTAAGAAGCCGGCACCGCTGTCTTATAAATGGGACTTGTGCTCTTGGGGCAGCTTAAAGTGTCTTTCTCGCTGCTAGCGGACGATTGATGTCGTGTCTCTGTGACCCACACACCGTGTAAAGAATTAACCTCATATCTCAGCAGACGTCGTCTCCTAATATTTCCCTTTATTTAATAAAAATGTTATGGCGAAAAGATGGAGCAGGCCCAGGGCTGGACCCGCGAGGCTCGGGCCTGATTGGTGGCAGGTTCCTCCGCGTGTCGGGGCTGCTCCCCTCCGCGTGTCGGGGCTGCTCCCCTCCGCCTGGGGCTTCTCCAGCCTTGTGGAGGGGCCGGGGCCGGGCTGGGCTGGGCTGGGCTGGGGCGCAGGGGCAGCAAGGAATGTGGCCCAGACGTCGCCCTGGGCGCCCGGCAGCCAGAGGGCGAACCCTGTCCCGGCGGGGGCGGCCTGCTGGGGTGGGGTGGGGGCGGGTCTTTCCTGGTCGCCCAGCCCCTGGCCGCCACCAGGCAGCCCCTGGCTCCCCGGACGGACGCCCCATCTCCATGCACTCAGCACCAGCGCCTGAGTGCAGCTTGGACGGCCGGGAGCCCCGGCCCCGGGGGCCGCAGGGCAGGTCCTGAAGGAAACACCAAGCCACGGTCGTCCTCCCCGTGGGCCGGAGAGCTCTGCCTGCAGAGAGCCCCCAGCCCGGCTGCCCAGAGCCAGCCGGCCACCTGCCGGCCGCGAGTTACTGGAGGTGTCCCCGGACAGAGAGGCTCCGGAGGTGGAAGATTCACCCTCCACACGCCGGGATTGCCCTGCACACCTGGGCCACGCAGGTCGCCTGGGGCTCCCGTGTGCTGGTCGCCGGCGCCCAGGGTGAGGCTGGGGGGGTGCTGAGATGGGCCCTGGGCAGGGGCGTGGAGGGAGCCCTCGCTGCTGCGGGGGCACCTGCAGGAAGGCGGCCCCCAGCCCTCACCATGCGTTCCAGCCCCACCCCCGACCTGGCCCCCCCCCAGGACCCTTCCCTGCAGGACGGGGGGCCCCTTGGGGGGGCGGCCAGGAGCCTCTGCCAGCTGCAAGTCCCCCCGGATCAGCTCACACCTCGGAACAGCTTGTACCCAACGAGCTGGCAGGGGCGCCGGGCCTGGGCGGGGGCGCCGCCGTATCTAACCAGATCGATCGTGCGTAACCGTCTGGGCCGGTTTTGGAATGTCCTTGGGGCCTCGCGCCCCTCCCTCCGCCTCCCCCCCCCAACAAGAAAGGAAAATTATTTTTCGTATTGTAAACTTTAAACACGAAAAAGCTGTTTTTAATTTAGCAGAAACTGGCTCGGATCTTCGCTCTGCGAATGTCTGTGTCCTTCAGAGAGAGGCGGAACACGCCCGTGCACACCCGCACACGCTGGAGCACACACCCGCACACGCGTGTTCGCACGGGCACACGCGTCGCGACGTGCACACACGCACGCACACAGCCCCGGACCCGCCCGGCGCCCCGAGGGGTGTGGAGCCCCGCGGCTCTCGTGGAGCCGGGAAGGCGCCCGCTTCCCAAAGGGGGCCTGGACGCGGCGGCCGCCTCGCACCTGGGCTCGGGCTGTGGGAAACGGCGTCTCTCCGGACGGTGGGACGCAGCCGCGAGAGGGAGGCCAAGTGTGGCTTCTGGGGCCTCGCAGCCGGCCGGGCCAAGGGGGCCTCCGGGGAGCCGTGTGAGGTGGGAATCCGCCCCGGACCTGGCCGGCTTGGAAGCCCGCCCCTGGCTCCGTCTCCCTGAGAAAGCAGCTCCAGCCCCTCCGTTCTCACGGGCGGGCGGGCGGGCGCCGAGGTCCGCTGTGGCCTCGCAGGCCGGCCTTCCCCGGGCCGGCAGCCCAGGGCCCAGCTCGGCGCCTGGCACAGAGGGGGCGCTGCCCGGGTGTCTGTCGAACAGCAGAGGTTCCAGAGGGGGGAGGGGAGGGCAGAGCCCGCCCCGTGCGGGCGTCCGTGGGCGCCGTCTGCGTGTGGGCCCCGCGGGCAGGAGGGCCCCCGCGTCCCCTTCCCTCCTGCCGTCCTCTTGGCCAGCCTGGCAGCCGTCCCGCCCTCGCCAGCAGAGCCCTGACTGCGTGCCAGCACGATGTGCCCAGCCCCAGGGGTGAAGATCCCGCCGAGCCATTCTTGGCAGTGCCTCTCGCTGGGCCGGCGCCAATCTGGGCGCCTTTCCCGGCCCCGGGCAGCAGGCTTTAAGGGGTCGGGCGTTTCGGGACAAGACAGAGGCCTCACTGCCCCTTCCCACCTTTGCTGCTGCTTATGAGGACATGGCGCCAGGAGCTTCTGCAGCCATCTTGTGGCCACGAGGAGCAAGTTAAGAGGGGCCCAGGAATGCCTCATCCCAGATCCCCAAAACCGTGGGGCCGCCAGTTGCATCCTCCACCTCTGACCTCCAAACTCATCCTCACGAGAAATAACATCTGCACTTCTTTTTTTTTTTTTGACACAGAGTCTCACTCTGTTGCCTGGGCTAGAGCGCTGTGGAGTCAGCCTCGCTCACAGCAACCTCCAACTCCTGGGCTCAAGCGATCCTCCTGCCTCAGCCTCCTCCCGAGTAGCTGGGACTACAGGCATGCGCCACCATGCCCGGCTAAGTTTTTCTGTATATTTTAGTTGGCCAATTAATTTATTTCTATTTATAATAGAGACAGGGTCTTGCTCTTGCTCAGGCTGGTTTCGAACTGACCTTGAGCGATCTGCCCGCCTCGGCCTCCCAGAATGCTAGGATGACAGGCGTGAGCCACCGCGCCTGGCCAACATCTGCACTTTTTTTTTTTTTAATTATTTTTTTTACTTTTCTTCTTTTCCAAAAGTTAGCCAGCCACTGTTGCTTAATGCACTTTTTTTTTTTTTGAGACATAGTCTCGGGGTTTTTTTGTTTTTATTTTTGGGACAGAGTCTCACTTTGTTGCCCAGGCTAGAGTGAGTGCCATGGCGTCAGCCTCGCTCACAGCAACCTCACGCTCCTGGGCTCAAGTGATCCTCCTGCCTCAGCCTCCAGAGTAGCTGGGACTACAGGCACGCACCACCATGCCCGGCTCATTTTTTCTATATAATTTTTGTTGGCCAATTAATTTCTGTCTATTTTTGATAGAGACAGGGTCTCACTCTTGCTCAGGCTGGTCTCGAACCCCTGACCTCGAGCGACCCTCCCGCCTCGGCCTCCCAGAGTGCTGGGATCACAGGCGTGAGCCGCCGCGCCCGGCCTCAACATCTGCACTTCTGAAGACGCTAGCGGTCAGACGTGCTGATGCTCGTAACCAAGCAGCTCCAAAACTGTAACACAAACGTGGCAAATGCCGGAGTCTCCCCATCTTAGGTAAGTCAGGGGTTTTTTATTTGCAAGCAACAGAAACTGACCCTGAGCGGATTTAAATAGCCAGGGATGTATCGGAAAACTGGGAGCTCGCAGGAGCAGCGGGAAGGCCGGAAAGCCAGGCCGAAGAAACACTAGCAATCGGGGGGGGGGCCGAGACGGCCAGGCCCCCAGCTGGAATCAGGCCGGAGGACGCTGCTGCCCCCTCCGCGGAATCCAGGCGCCTGCCTTGGCAGTGCCATCTGCCCTGGGCGCTCAGCCATAGCTGCCCCTGGCAACCAGATGGCCCTGCCCTGATGTTATTTCTTTGTTCCACTTGTGCCTCCGGAGCGGGGACATCCTTTCAGCCCATCCCACACCCCGTGCCAATACCCAGCTGCCCGGGCAGCGGGGAGCGAGTCTGTGAGTGCATCAGCCACTGCTGCGTAACAAACAATCCCACGTCTCAGTGTTGCACGACAGTTAATGTCTGTTTTTCACGTGTCCGTGAGTCTGCGGGGCGGGGGGACGCGGGGGTGTCCTGTTCTAGGCCGGGCTATTCTAGGCTGTCCTGTGCTGCCGGGTGCAAGGCCGGGCAGCGGGGGAAGGTTCTGCTGCACCCCCCCCGGGGCCGGGCAGTTAGCCAGGGCACCTTCTCCTCCTCCCGAGAAGGTGCCAAAGAAGACAGGCGCGGCCTCGCGGGGCTCCCGCGGTCTGGATTCAGGGCTCACGCGCGCCCGCTCCTGCCCAGGTGTCTCGGGCCAGGCGAGCCACGTGGCCGAGCCCAGGGTCAGGGGTGGGGAGACAGCCCCACCCGAGGGAAGACGCCGGGCGTGGGCGCGGGACCGGGCGGGAGCTGGGGCGGGAGGCTCTGTCGGCCACCCTCGGCGTGGGGGCTTCTGTCGTTACTGGAGAACGGACTCCCCCCCCCCCGTGGGGGCTCCCCAACTTGGAAGGGGACCCCGAGGCCGGGCAACCAACAAAGAAGAGCTCTACTTCTCTGCCCACTGGAGGTCGGGGATACCTTTTTTTTTCTTTTTTCTTCTTTATTTATTTTGCATTTCAGCATATCGTGGGGGTACAGATTTTAAGGTTTCAATAAATGCCCTTTCCCCCCTCCCCCCACAAGTCTGAGTCTCCAGCGTGACCATCCCCCAGATGATGGACATCTCACTCATTTTTTTTTTTTTTTTAAGAGATGAGGTCTCTAGACCCGGGACAAGAAGAAAAAGAAATTTAAAAAATTAAAAAAAAAAGAGAGACAAGGTCTCACTCTGTCGCCCAGGCTGGAGTGCAGTGGTGTAATCATAACTCACTGCAGCCTCGAACTCCTTGGCTTAAGTGATCCTCCCGCCTCGGCCTCCCAGAGTGCTAGGGTTACAGGCGTGAGCCACTGCATGCACCCAGCCTCCTGGCTAATTATCTTATTATTTTATTTTATTTTATTTATTTTTTTTGCAGAGATGCGGTTTTACTGTGTTGCCCAGGCTAGTCTCGAACTCATGGCCTCAAGTGATCCTCCTGCCTCAGCCTCCCAGAGTGCTGGGATTATTGGCATGAGCCACTGTGTTTGGCCTTCTTTTTTTGTCAGGGCTGTGAGTGTCCTGGGCTCCCAGACAGCAGGGAAGGGGTCATTGAGGGCTCAGCCAAGGTTCGGGGACATTGCGGGTGACCTTGGGAGCCCACCCCAGGCGTCATCCTTCGGTGCAGGTGGTTCATGGGTGGAGGCAGACTGTTGGCTGTCTCCCAGAGCCGCCCCTGGGTCCCCTGCCCGCCCGCCCGCCCGCCCGGCCCCAGCCTCTCGATGCCCTCTTTGGCAGTCAGCCTTGTCCTACCCCCACCAGACACTGAGGCCCAGGTGGGAGGATGAGGGATCTGGGTCCCCATGTGACCTCATCACCTCACTGTAAACAGTGGGCTCAGGCGGGGCGCGGCGGCTCACGCCTGTCATCCCAGCACTCTGGGAGGCCGAGGCGGGAGGATCGCTCGAGGTCAGTTCAAAACCAGCCTGAGCAAGAGCGAGACCCCCCCTCTCTACTAAAAATAGAAAGAAATTAAAATGGCCAACTAATAAATATAGAAAAAATGAGCCGGGCATGGTGGTGCATGCCTGTAGTCCCAGCTACTCGGGAGGCTGAGGCAGGAGGATCGCTTGAGCCCAGGAGTCTGAGGTTGCTGTGAGCGAGGCTGACGCCACGGCACTCACTCTAGCCTGGGCAACAGAGTGAGACTCTGTCTCAAAAAAAAAAAAAAGAGTGGGCTCACACGTGGCATTTCTGGCTTCCATGGGGTCCCTTCCTTTTCTCCACGCTCAGACCCGGCTCTTCCTTTGGTTTTAAAACTCTCTCTGGGCCGGGCGAGGTGGCTCACGCTTGCAATTCCAGCACTTTGAGAGGCCGAAGCCGCAGGATCACTTGAGACCAGTCTGGGCAACACAGTGAGACCCCCTGTCGCTACAAAAATGTGTTAAAGACGGGCCAGGCACAGTGGCGGCGCCTGTAGTCCCAGCTACTTGGGAGGCTGAGGCGGGAGGATCGCTTGAGCCCGGGAGTTCAAGGCTGCTGTGAGCTGGGCTGACGCCGCGGCACTCCAGCCCGGGCGACAGAGCGAGACTCTGTTTCTAAAAACACAAAGTAAAATAAAACTCTGTGTTGCGCGGGCCTGGTTTGGAAGTCGGCGATGAGCCCTGGATGGTTTTCGCCTCTGCCTCCTGGCACCAAACGGCCCTAATTCACCTCCAGGAGCTGTGGGTACCTCTTCAAATCGACGGGATCCCATATAAGGAAGAGCCGGGAGCAAAGCATGAGACCTACGCCTGGGAGCTAGCGTCCTGCTCCCCTAACGGTTCCCGGGAGCTAAGTGCTTTCCACGCTTTATCTGTTTAATCTCCCCAAGGGCCTGCTGTGAGGAGCAGCACCATCCACATTCATAGCAGGGGAGGGCAGCAGGGTTCAGAGAGGTGAGGACAATTTCCCATTGTCACACAGCCGTGCTGGACCGCACAGAAACTCTCAGGAGTTAGTTGTTGTCACGCAAGTGGACATGGATATGAAGGAGTTTGGGTTTTTATTTCACTTGTTTTAGAGGCTTTAGGTGCAGGAATGCTGCGGCCGCAGGCAGGGGAAAGAGCACTTCAAGAAGGAGGGGGAGCGGGCTGTGCAAAGGCCCCGAGGCAGGACTGAGGCAGCAAGGCTGGAGCGGGGAAAGGGAGGGCTGGAGGTGACGCTGGGGAAGATGGCGGGAACGCAGGGAGCCAGGCCAAGCTGCGGAGCAGAGGAGCCTGGAGGCCGCGGGAAGCGGTTTGTCAGATACGCTCTGCGACTCAACTGAAGCTCTTCAGTACTTGGATGCTTCCGGCTCCTTGGGACCAGGGCTAACCAGAGAGCGTGAGCCAGGGCTGCACCAACCTGGGGGGGGAGGCCGGCTCTCCGTGGAGGTCAGGACGGGCTTTCTGGAGGAAGGGACATTTGAGGGGGTTTATTTTATTTTTTTGAGACACAGTCTCGCTCTTGTTGCCCGGGCTGGAGTGAGTGCCGTGGTGTCAGCCTCGCTCACAGCAGCCTCCAACTCCTGGGCTCAAGCGATCCTCCTGCCTCAGCCTCCGGAGTAGCTAAGACTACAGGCATGCGCCACCACGCCCGGCTAATTTTTTCTATATTTATTAGTTGGCCAATTGATTTCTATTTACGGTAGAGACGGGGTCTCGCTCTTGCTCAGGCTGGTTTCGAACTCCTGACCCTCGAGCGACCTGCCTGCCTCGGGCTCCCAGAGTGCTGGGATGATAGGCGTGAGCCACTTTGCCCGGCCTGAGGTGGGTTTTGAGGGATGAGTAGGAGTTTCTCAGGCAGAAAATAAACTTGTTTAAATAGACGCTTTCTACCACCCTGCCCCGTCTGTGCCTAGCCTGGTGTTAGCCCTGGGGACCCAGGGGAACAGCGTGAACACAGGTAACTACAGAACGATGCCAAAGGTGCTCAGAACCTTCTGGGGATAGAGGGCAAGCCTTAAGAGGAAGGCATCACTGTGTCCTTCCCACGTCACACGGAACTGCGGCTCCCTCCTGGCACGTTTGGGAAAGGTGGACACCCTTGTAGCCTCTGATCTCAGCTCAGCCCGCAGGGGATGAGACGGGACCCCAGCAGCAGCCGTCTTAGGAGAATGGGACGTTTGGGGGCCACTTCGGAGTGAACGCCGCAAGAAGTCTGAAAGGGGGGACGGTGGCAGCCACGGAAGAACCCGGGGCAGAGGCATCCAGGCAGAGGGAACAGCACATGCAAAATCTGCAGGAGGCCGGTGTGGCCGCCGGTGGCCCCGGGGTGGGGGTGGGGGGAACGGCTGATGGAAGGAGGGAGATTTTTTTAAGTGTGACGGGAGTGTGGCGTCCGCCCCTGTTTACAAAGACCATGGGCATCGCCGGACTGCACGGGGCTGGGGGGTGGGGGTGGGGGCCGGCTCCCCCTGATGAGGGAAGGAAGCAAAACCCCACCTGGGCCATGGGACGCTGTGGCCTCGCCTTCCTCGGGCCCGGGGTCAGTGGAGCAAGGAGAAGGACTTGGTTGCCTTCCGGCCGTTGCACAACGAGCAAGCCGGCCGCTTCCTCTGACTCATCACCAGGGTTCAGGGTGGATCGAGTTACGCCAGGGCACGGGGTGAATGGAGGCCGGCAGGGACCGCATCCCGACTCTCACTTCTGCACGTGCAGGCCTCCTGCCGGGACCTGCCGCCCCTCGAGTCATTTCCCCTCCGTCTTTCTGCGTCCAGAAACCGGCTCGGTGCAGACATATGCAAGTGGCCAAGCTAACCAGCACTTACCAGGCGCTTTGTTTTTTTTTTTTTTTTTGGAGGCAGAGTCTCGCTCTGTTGCCCGGGCTAGAGTGCCGTGCGTCAGCCTCGCTCACAGCAACCTCAGACTCCTGGCCTCAAGCGATCCTCCTGCCTCAGCTCTGAGTAGCTGGGATAAGGCATACGCCACCAACGCGTCATCTTTTATTTTTAGTAGAGATGGGGTCTCGCTCTTGTTCTGGCTGGTCCTAAACTCCTGGCCTCAAGCGATCCTCCCGCCTTGGCCTCCCAGAGTGCTGGGATGACAGGTGTGCGCCACCTCCCCCCCACCCCCAGCCTATCGAGTATTTCTTACGAGCTGCACAGTGGACACGCTTCATTTAAACCCTGCGAAACCCAGTGCATGGGAGGAAGCTGAGCTCTGCCGTGAAGCCCAAGCTCTAACCCTGGCTGTGGTGCCTGCCGTGCCTCGGGCGGCCGCTGTGCCTGCACTCTGTCTCAGTTTCCTCTCTGACCTCACCGCCTGGCGGCAAGAACCAGAGGCTACACGTGGAGCAGGCCCACTGTCGCACCTGACTCACGGAGACTGCGGTCTCGGTTGGTGTCAGGAGCAGAAAAGGGGCTTCAGAATGACTTAAGCACAAAAGAGGAATACGTTTCTGGCTCCTACAACTGAAAAGGCAACAGTGTCTGTCTAGCTTCAGGAAAGGCTGCATCCAGGAGCTCCGGCCACGTCTCTCTGCCCCTTGGCTCTGTTTTCCTCTGTGTGGGTTCACCCTCTCAGCCCAGCTCTCTTCACACGGCGGCCCCTCTCAGTGCACACTTGTGGTGTCCTTCAAACCAGGCACCCAGGCAAACCGTGGGGCATCTCTTTCCAACACGGTTCCAACAAAAGTTCCAGGGAGGAGGAGAGGAGGACGGCGGCGAGAAGATGGCGACTTCGAACAATCCGCGGAAATTCAGCGAGAAGATCGCGCTGCACAACCAGAAGCAGGCGGAGGAGACGGCGGCCTTCGAGGAGGTCATGAAGGACCTGAGCCTGACGCGGGCCGCGCGGGTGAGGGGCCGCCGGCCGACCCGGGCCCGCGGGAGCGGCGGGGCGCGCGCGCGCGCGCACGGGCGGGGGGCCGCGGCGGGGGGCGGGCCGCGCGGCGGCGGGGCCCGGCGCGGCCCGAGGGGAAGGTGCCCCACACAGTGTCCACGCCCGGCGTCGTGGGCGGGACGCCGCGCCCGCAGCCTCCGTACCTGGCGGGGGCGCAGGTGCCGGCATCTTGGCGCTGGAGAGCGGGGGCTCTCACGTGGTTGCGGCCGGGAAGCGAGGGGACGCCGCCGCGGCTTGTCCACCTCGGGGGGGACAGGTGTCCGGCATGCTCGCCACCGCGGGCGCAGGGTGACGCTGAGGTGGACGCGCCGGGTGCCGCTCGCGGGCCATCGTCTTCCCTGGCGTGGGGGGTACAGGCGCTTCCCGCGCGTCGTGGCTACTGAGAGGGACAGGTGCCCTCACGTCGTCGCTCCCTGAGCCGGACCGGGTGATCTCTACGCCCTGTTACTGCCTGCCAGACTGCCTGGGTTGTTCGGGGGAGACGGAGGTCCCGCTTGCAGACCTGAGATGGGACAGGTGTCTCTTCCTCTGGACACCTGGCAGAAAAGGTTCAGACCCCCTCCCCTGTGGGGTCCCAAGGAAGCAGACCCGTGTGTTCGTTTGCTGGGACTTGGCGTGTGACAAGCTACCCCTTCCCCACCGCCGCTCCATGGCTGGGAGCCAGGTGATGTTCCCTGTCCTGGGACGGGACAGCGGCCGAGCTGCCCTGTCCTCCCAGGACGCCGTGAAGGGACAGGTGTGGCCTCAGGTGGCTGTGGCCCACGCGCTGTATCACGGGGCAGCAGCCGGGTTTTGCCACGGCTCCCTGGCATGGCAGGGCAGGTACCCTGCTAACCTCCCTGGGCCGAGCAGGGGCTGGGTCGGGTGGGGGTCCGAGCCGTGCGGCACTCCACCCCCACACCCAGCCGGTGGGCCTCAGTTTACTCCCCTTCTAAAGTGCTGGTCCCGAAGACCTTCTTTGGTGGGTCAGGCAGGTGAGCGTCTTTTGCGCAGGTGGCAGTGAATCTCCGTTGGGTCTTCGCCCGAGCGGCTGGGACCCCTTGTCCTGCACCCTGGGGCTTCGGGGAAATGGTCAGGTGGACGTCACACACACCACAACACACACCGTGCCCGGTGACCGGCCCAGGCGGATACCTCATCCCCGACCCCTCAGCCGCTCGGTCGTCTGATTCTAACCGGTTGTGTTCTCGTGAGGCGGACCTTGAGACCGGGATTCCTTTCCATTTCCGGCGGCGCGTTGCGCTCGCCCTGTCCCGAGCACTGCCACCTGTGAGCCGTCGCGAGCCCATCCCGACCGCCAGACACCACCCACCATGTCTCGCTCGGCGATGTAGGGACAGAGATGGCCGGGAATGAATGAACGATGAATGAAAGAAACAAAGTGTGTACAGCCCGAGTGCTCCCCACACAGCTCAGGGCTCCAGGCAGGAGTGTCCAACGGCCACCTGTCCCCTGCACAAGGTGGTCCGGCCATGCGGTCGGGGGTCACCATTTGTAACAGTGACGGGAGAAAGCGGCACAGCCGTGTCGGCACAACTCTTACTTGTTTACAGGTGCCGCAGTGCCCTGCTTTTAGTGGGTTCGCAGCGCCGCGTGCCACGTTACAACATATAGTTCAGGAACGTTTTCCATCCCCCAAAAAGG